ATGTATTGACCATCTTTGTCTCTCTTAATTAGTTTTGGTTTGAAATCTGCTTTGTCTGCAAATAAGATTGCTACCCCTGCTTTTCTCTGGGTTCCTGTCGTGTGGAGAACTGTTTTCCATCCTTTTACTTTCAGTCTATGAATTTCTTTTTGAGTTTGGTGTGTTTCTTGTATACAGCTTATTGTTGGATTTTGCTTCTTAATACATTCTGCCAGTCTATTTCTTTGATTACTGAATTGAGGCCATTAACATTAAGGTTATAATTGATACATATGGACTCATCCTTATCATGATGTTTTACTGTTGTTGGTTCTTTTATTTTTTATTTTTCCCCCTTTCCCTTTAATTTCTTGCCTTGCCTGGTGGCTTCCCTCTGTTGGGCCTCATGGAGTTGTGACCTTCATTGTCTTTTTCTAGGATATTGTTTACAATTGTTTGGAGTGTTGGTTTGGTGTTCATGAAATTTCTCAGGTGTTCTTTGTCATGGAAGTATCTAATTTCCTCATTGATTTTAAAAGATAATTTTGTAGGATACACAGTCTAGGTTGGAAGTTATTTTCTTTTAGGTCTTGAAATACTTCACTCCAGGCTCTCTTGACTTGAGGGTTTGTGTTGAGAAGTCTGCCGTGATTCTGATGGGCTTTCCTCTGTAGGTGATTTGTTTCTTTTCTCTAACTGCTTGTAGGATTTTGTTCTTCTGTTGGGTTTTGGGTCTTAACTATTATATGTCTAGGTCTACATATATTTTTTTTGATCGTGGCTAGTTGGAGTTCTATATGCCTCACTTATCTGTATGTCCAATTCTCTACCTCTGTCTGGGATGTTTTCTACTCTTACTTCTGGAACAGTTTTTTTATGTCAATTGTACTTTCTCCTGCTTTTTCATAGACCCCTATCAGTCTTATGTTGTTCTTCTTTGCATCATCTAGCAACTGCTGGATTGATTTTTTGTGGTCCCTTACTATTTTGAAGAAATGTCTGTTTTCTTGGTCACAAACCACAATCTGATCTTCTGTATCTGACATTCTATCTTTACATTCCCTTAATCTTCTGTGCATACTTTCAATGGAGTTTTTAATCTCCTGGATATCTGTTTGAATCAGTTTCATAGATTCCATTTTTTTCTTATGTTGGGCAATTGTGGTTTACATTTCTTTTTTATGCTGGGCATTCATAGCAGAAAGCTTAGCTTTTCCAGTAATCTACTCTGCTTACTTGTCACTTCCCAAAACACATTAATTTTCAATTTTATTTAGAAATAAGTCTAATAATATTCACTATTTTATATTCTCCTAGCAACTCTGGCCAAGGATTTTAAAGTGTGTATATCTCAATGGATAGATTAGATTATGTAGCCTTGTATCTTACATTAATCCATGTTGTATAATTTTTTACCTCTAATTGAAACTCTTTCCTTTTTTTCTTTTTTGAAAAGATAATTGTCATAATCGTAATGGGACTGGTTATAGGTGCCATCTTCCTTGTGCTAAAAAATGATTGTAATGAAATCCAGAATAGGTAAGTAAACTGCAGCATTGATTGGGGGAAATTTAAATTACTTTTTTCAAGCTTGTAAATGTCCATTAAAAATTTAAATTTATGACAATATAGGGTGGACATTACTGTTTGTGAGTTAAGGTGAGTTAGTGTATTAAAAACTGCATAGAAACATTATTTTTACACATATATTTATATATGTAATGGTAAACTATGAACAACATAAAATTTACCCTTTTTAATAATTTGTAAGTGTAGGGTTCAGTAGCATCAAACACATTTATGTTGTACAACTATCTCCACTCGAAAACTCCAGAATAACGTTTTATCTTCTCAAATAGAATCACCATACACATTGCAGAACATCTTTCCATTTTTCCCAATCCCTGGCTGGCACCATTTTATTTTGTATCTATAAATCTGACTCCTTTAGGAACCTCATGAACATACAGTCATAGTCATAAATTATTATTTGTGTGACTAGCTAATTTTCCTTAACACAGTGTTCGCGGGAAGATCACTGTGAGTTTGAGGACAGCCTTAGGTTCATAGTGAGTTCAAGGCCAACATGGACTATATAACAAGACCCTTCTCAAAAACATGTATTCACTGAAATTGTAGCAGAAAAATTTCCAAATCTAGGGAAAAAATTCACTTTTTAAGTAACTGAGGCATATAGAATTCCAAACAGCCACAACACAATAAAAACCTCTCCATGACACATCATAGTCAATATTAGAGAAATTCAGCACAAAGAGAAAAAAACTAAAAGCTGTTGAAATAAACATGTCACCTATAAATGCAAGCCAATCAGAATAACAGCAGATTTCTCAGCACAAACCTTAAAGGCCAGGAGAGCTTGAAGCGAAGTGTTTGAAACCCTAAAGGAAAATAAAAATGTCCACCAGAGTTCTATATTTTGCAAAACTATCCTTCAAAATATCGGGAAAAATTAAACCTTTCCATGACAAAGAAATCCGAAAGAAATTCATGACCACTAAACCAACATTGCAGAAAACATTTAAGAGAATCCTAGATAGACATAGGGATGCCACTAGTGCTAAAGAGTCCAAAGGACAGCATACGTCTAACCAGGAGAGTAAAACCTATATATAAAAACAGAAGCAATAAATCTATTGTAAGATAAAATAGGTAAAAGTCTTGAAGACATAGTCATAGGCAAAGTCTTTCTGAATAGAACCCCAGTTCCACAACAAATATTACCAAGAATCAACAAATGGAATCATACAAAATTAAAAAGCTTCTATACCACAAAGGAAACAACCAAAGAGTAAAGAAACAATCTACAAAACTGGAAAAGAATTTTTCCATCTATTCCTCCAGAGGACTAAAATCTAGAATATACAAAGAAATATAGGAAAAAAAATAGACCATCCCCCAAGTAAGAGACCCAGTCTGAAAAATGGGCAACTGAAATGAATAAACACTTCTCCTAAGAAGTACAAGTAGCCAATAAGTTCATGAAAAATGTTCAGCATCTTTGGTAAAAAATGCAAATCAAAACAACACACTGCTTTTATCTTATTTGAGAAAGAATGGCAATCATCAGGAATTTAAAAAGCAACAAAGGCTGCTAAGCCTGTGTGTTTGTGTGGGGGGCACTTCTACATTTCTCATGGGAACATAAACTAGTACAAGCACTAGGAAAATCAGAACGGAGATTCCTCAAACTAGAAATAGAAGTTCTACTTGACCCAACTTTACCTCTGCTGGGTATCTGCCTCAAAGATTAAAGACATCATGTTACATTGATACAGACATTCCCATGTTTATAGCAGCATTTTAGAGATATTACCAAAAACCCTGGCCATGGGTCTTGGTTTCCTGTGAGCCAGTACTACATCTATGAGATAGGAAAAAGAAAGGAAATGAAAACACAGAGACAGAGATTGGGTCTTGGGCTGATCTAAGCCACTCTGAGCTGCAAAGACAAAAGACATCAAGGACACCTAGGGTTTATTCATTACAAGCATAGGAAGAAGGGAAGCTTGGCAGGCTTTGGGAGAACTGCTGATAACAGTATCACAGGCAGGGGCACCTGCTTAACTTTTACAAAAGAGAACAAATGGTTAATTCAGAGGGAAGAATTTAGTTGGAGTCAGTTGACCTTAGCTGGAAGTGAACTTAGCAAGGCCTTGCTACTTCTAATGTAGTATAGCAGAATTATAGAGGGGCAAGAAGCTTGTGCCACTTATAGCCTGTTAATACTGGGCAAAGATGTCTGCTACAACAGCACAATTCGTAAGAGTTAACTTTGGAAGCAGCTTATATTGTTCACCAACAGAAAAATGGATAAAGAAAGAAGAATGGAGATATATACATATATAGTATATATATTCACATTTTCTTTAATATATATATTATATTATATATTATATATTTTATATATATATATATATATATGCTAAGTCACAAGGAAGGTAAGTTTGAGTCATTTGTGGAATATATGTGAGAAACCCAAAATATATATAACTTAAAGAGCAATAAAAAGTGATAAATGTTTGAAGTGATGGATATCACCTTAATCATCTTGATTTAATTATTATTTAATATTGTATCTATGAATCATAATGTCTTCATCTAGGGATGTAGGTCAGTGGTACAGAACTTGCCTAGCATCTATGAATTACTGCAAAACAATCCCTAGCACCACTCCCACAACAAAAAATTGCCGTACACTCAGTGGCGTAAGCCACAGAGGTTTATGTTTTCTCAATTCTAAAGTCTGAAATCTGTAGTTAGGGTTCTAGTCTAGCAAGGCCAGGCTCTGATGAGGCTCCAGCCCTGGCTTACAAATGTCCCTTTTCACCTTGCCCTCTCTCATGGCAGACAGTGCTTTGGGATTTCTCCTCTTCTAAGGGCACTAATGCCAATTGGCAGGCCCCATTCTCCTGGCCTCATCTAAGCATAATTACTTCCCCAAAGACGCATCTCTGTGTACCATTAGGCTGGGAGATCTAGCTTCAATGTATAAATTTTAGAGGAACACAGCCACTTAAAACCACAAATTTTAAACTATGCTAAAATATGGAGTCAAAGCTACCTGTTTAGGCACAGAAATAGGTGAGACCCCATGGAGTCACAATTCCCTCTCCATTTTAACCAGAACAGTTTAACTTTCTTTTTCCCTTTTTAAAAAACAAATCCATTGACTTACATCATTTATGGAGAGTTGCATGGGTAGAAAACCACTCGAAAATGTTAACTGTGGTGATTTTTGTTTTCATTCTAACCTGGCAGAGCCTTGGTACTCTTCATGCTCACTGTCTATGAATGTTTCAGCAACAAGTCAGCCGGAGAGATCTTTGTGGTGGAGAAGAAGCTCTTTCTGTGAGTAGTTCACAGCTCTGAAAAGAAACATTGGTGACTCTAGGGTTGCATCCAGAATCAGACAAAGGACACCATCTTACTATTCATTAGTGCCTTGTCATTTTCCTGTATTTGTCTGATTGACAAATGTAAACTGTATGTATTTGTGTATAGCATGAGCATTAGAAATATGCATCAGATTTATCAATATTGAGAAAAAGCTGGCATAGGTGGGGTGAAAAATCAAGAGCATATGTGCCCTGCTAATAAGGGAAAGCAATTTCAAAGTTAGGTACAGTCAGCAAATCTCAATGCTGCAAGAAATCAATAAATAAAGGGGCTGAAAATTATTTCATGTTTTAGACAAATAACAAGTCATCATGATCCTTCAAGAAAAACTTAAAAGGCTTCATAGAGACTATGTATTGGGTCTAGCAGCAATTTGGAGAGGGAGAAGTAAAGTTGAGAAAGAATGTGATCAACGTTTTCCCTCAGTGAATGGAGAAGTGGAAAGAGTCAGAGGGCAGCTTTTTAGTAAAGAGGAAGCTGGTTATTTCTTGTGTTTTTCAAAGATGGAAGAGCTTCAGCCATATTCTCCTGCCAAGGAAAGAAATTTTCAGAGAAAGAATGAAGATACTGGTGGAAAACTTTGGAACTGAACACAAAATCAAGGAGATGAAGATTAGGGTTTAGTGGCTGAGTCTGATGTTGGAGGTGTGATAACTGAAAAAGGAAGTCTTCTCTTTTTTACCCCAAGAGTGGCAGAAGTTAAAAGAGTGTAGCAATTTGAAGCTACACTGGGGACCTTGGAAAACAACCATGTCACTTTCTTTATAATCAAAAGTGGGAAGAAGCAAACCCCATGACCACTAGGATTAGCCCCTGAAGCTCTGTTCTTCAGAGAGAGCCAGCATCAGAAGAGAAGCAGTCTGTAAGGAGGGAGGAGACACAGACTGTGCACCAGGAAGGGCTTCTAGGCCAGTGTGGCTGGAAGGAGAAGGGGATCTGTAGTGAGAGAGATCACAGCAAGGAGGTTTGGCACTTGTGAGGTCAAAGGGCATAGGGGAATATGCCTGGGTGATATGGGAATCTGTCTTAGGTCACTGGTGGCAACACAAATCTGCAGACCAAGCATCTCGTCTTCTGATCTCTGGTTTATTAAAGTAACCTAAGATATATGATGTGTGTTTTCTTCTATAGACAAGAGTATAACAGTGGATACTACAGACTATCGTCCTATTACCTTGGAAAATTATTATCTGAATTACTACCCAGGAGGTTGTTGCCAAGTATTTTATTTACTTGTATTCCATACTTCATGCTAGGTAAGTTACAAAGAAGTGCATTCATAGTCTTGATATGAGGTGAAGCCTATTTCTCTTTGCACACAAGAGTATAGGTGCTGTGTGGAAAAGTGCTTTTGCAGTGAATGTGAAAGAGAAAACTGCATGATAACTTTATGCAAATACATGGAGGGGACAATGAAACTGATGAGCCAGCATAGTTGGATAGTGGATATATTCTGATATTAGTTTCTCAGAATGCGAGTATTATTGTGTTTTATCTACAGTAAACATTCCCAAACTCACAGTAAGCTAGGCAGCTGAACTAACCCTTCTTTTCTTTCTAGGATCAATGCCAGTGGCAGAGGGTTTCCTTATCATGACTTTTACCCTTATGATGGTGCGTTACTCAGCCAGTTCCCTGGCACTGGCCATAGCAGTGGGTCAGAATGGGGTGTCCATAACAACCCTTCTCATGAACATCTATTTTCTGTTTATGATGGTGAGTATGAACTGTGCTTCTCTGAGGGAATTTTTTCCCTTGTTTCTTTCAGCACATTTACCTGTCCTGTTAAACCTGCTTTGGGGATTATGTACATGGGACTCTGATAACTCATTTTGATGTTACTGTAAAAAAAGGATCATTTTTTTCTGTTTTTAGATTCCAGGTTTGTTCGTGGGAACAGATTGCAGTGGTGTTAGAATAGTCAGTACAATTAGCCCTTTGTGTCCATGGGTTCCGTATTCAAAGATTCAAACAACTATGGTTCAAAACTATACAAAATAAAAATGGTATCTGTACTGAATATGTGCAACTTTTCTTGTCATCATTCCCTGAACTATACAGTATAAGCTATTTACATAAATATACTGTTTAAGGTATCATAAAAATATAAAGATGATTTAAAATATACAGGATATGGGTATTTAAAGCATAAAGTATACATATAAGTTGTATGCAAATACTATGCCAGATAAAAAAATAAGAGACTTAGGCATTTCCAGATTTCCTATGCCTGGGTAAGTGGTTCCTGGAACCAATCTCCCTCAGATGCTATGGGACGACTGTTACTTGTGCTCCTGTTGTGTGCAGTGACAGAGAATGCTGAGGGTATAGTCTTGATAATTAATCTCCCAAATAAATGGAAATATAGTATAAATATAAAATATACTGTCCATCCTTTAAAACTATAAGCAGCCTTAGCTGTGCATAAGTATCACATGCAAAGGAGGAAGATAAGTATTTAGAGTAGCTGAAAGAAATTACAAGAGTTGGTCCTAGCAGAAATATTTAGAAGGTTGTGAAATTCTTGGAGAGGGGCTTGTTGAGAATTTCTCAAAATCACTAGACCAGTTCTGATATATAGATTTTGTTTTTTTCTTGAAGATTTTTTTGGCGATGTCACTGTATTTTGAAACCATGGCACCCCAGCTCTTGTGGCTTCAGTACCTCAGTATTCCTCATTATGGCTTTATGGTGAGTTGTCCTTGTCTGTGGTTCTGACTGAGTGACCAAACTGGGAACTGTCAATACAAACCCTAACCACCTCTTTTCTTTGGCCATGAGCTATGATTGACTGCTTCCATAAATTTTATTTCATGAGCAATGGATGACAATTTCCTAATAGGCTTGGTTAGCATAAAGTTAGGGTATCATCTGGGTTTCTTTCAACCCATAGTTGTTTAAAGGAAATGAGGGGTGGGGAGAAATCTCATGCTAAAGGGAAACATTGACTAATTGATGGAAAAGATATTGTATTTCAGTTAAATAAGGAAATGAGAGGTGGAGAGACTAAAATACATAGTTTGTATCAAAAGGAAAAATAGAAGGAAAGCAAAAACAATAAAGCATAGCATAGTCATAGCCATATTGACTTTAGCAAGCTAATCAACTCCAAAGAAACCTTGTTTTTTTAATATACTATAAATGAGATTTTAACTCCTGTAATTGCAACCAGTTTTGGTGTAAAAAAAAAAAAGATTGTTGACAAATTCACAATATTCACTGAGCACCACTGGATCACTTTACATATAGTGTATATGGGATTATAAAATTGGAAGGAGGTATCTCCATACTGATTTCCACAGTGGTTGCACCAGTCTGCCATAAAGAATGAGAAACTAGAGATATTTATAGCTAAATGGATGCATACTGAGGCCAAACTCTTAAGTGAAATAAATAGGACACACTTGTAAATACCGAATAGTTTATCTAGTGTGAGAAACTGAAAGTGTAAATAAAGATTAAAATGATGAAAACAAATAATTGATAATTTGAAATAGGAAAAGGTCCAAAGGTGTAGGGGTGGTGGGAGGAGATGGGGAAAGGAAGGAAGGGAAAGGAAAAATTATGAGAAAAGAAAAATAATGGAAACAAAATCTATGTAAATAGGGAAGGGTGGAGGGGTGAAGGGCACACAGGTAATGGGGAAAAGAATAAGAACTAAGATACATCATGTTCAGGTACAATCACCCAATGATAAATGTAAACATATTGTATACCTAAAATGTACCAATAAAAGAATTTTTAAAAATAAAATATAATAAAATTGAGGGGAGAAAAAAAGATATTGGGTAATATAGACAGAGGATTCCTGTCTTGACCAATTTGAAGAAGTATATCAGAACTAATCCTCTTCACTGCTAGGAAAATTAACTTCAGTTCCTTTGCCTTGACAGGGACTGTGAATGTGAAAATTGGTATATTTAAAAAAATAAAAATAAGGATTCAATTAACAGTATTATTTTGATAATTCTTGGTAAATTTTTTTTTAATTTAAAACTACTGTATTTCTCTTGCCCTGTTCCCTCTATGTCACAGGCTTTGCAGCACAATGAATTTTTGGGACAAATCTACTGTGCAGGACTCAATGCCACAAAAAGCAGTAGCTGTCTCAACTATATAATGTAAGTCTGTGCTCAGTGTCCTAACGCGTCTGCTTCCTATGGCGGTGTGATGTAGAAAGGCCCTGGGCTTAGAGCTAGTATGAGTCCTTTCAGATCACCAAGCCTTTCTATATCTTCTAAATTTTTTATACTTTGATTAGTACATGTTTGCAATACATAATGACTACATTCATCATGGGGAGTTGGTATTTGTACATAAAACATTTAATTCTTTTTACATCCCCTTTCTCTTCTTCCCCCTTCCCTCCATCTCTTGGACCCTTTCCCATCTGCAAAAGATCTATGTCCCCTTTTCCTGACGAGTCATTTTGGACTACTGCAGTCAAAATTTTATTTCATGTGGAAGGCTGTTTAAGGCGTTTTTAATTTTTTTTTTTTTGGTACCAGGGATCGAACTCAGGACCTTGAGCCTGCAAGGCAGGCAGTGGCCTTTTTAATATTTAGATTGTGGGTTGAGTTCTTATATTTTAAAATATTTTAGTTTGAAATGGAGTGCTTTAATAGGTAAGAAATATGACCTCAGAAAGGAATGGATTATGTGGTACCTCAGGGCCCAGCCCTGATTAAAAAAGCGAGCAGTAACACCATTAAGGGAGTGAGTGTTACCCTCCACCTGCTCTCTGGGATCCTGGCATTTCCCTCCAATTCATGGAGTTGTTAAAGCATGAAATAAAAAAGTGTGTGTGTGTGTGTGTGTGTGTGAATTGACTTCGAACACTCCCTATAAGAGGGTGTATCCTTCAATGACGGAAACACATTTTATTAAGTTGATGGAATCTCATTTTTGCATAATTCATCAAAACAGAAATGCATGTTTTAACAAATTTAGATCTTATTTTAAAATGTCAATATTATTTTTCTTTTCTATGATTGCTATTAATGGTTTGATTTTAGTACATAAAAGAGAATGATGGAGCCTAAATTTTTTTGAATGTACAAGTAGTATAGAAATAACTTTTAGTAATATGATATAGTTTTAGTTTATACTGTTTGACAGGAAAACTTCTATGTAAAGAGATTGTTTACCCATTCATTTTTTCTTTGACTTGGGTGTGGTATCTAACACAAACTGCCAACCTAGCCAGCCTAATGGCCAGGGGAATGTGAACAGGGACAGTGGGACCAAATGAGAAGCCACCACAGATTTCACACTCATTTAAGGGTCATCCTCCAAGGGGAAGGAGGAAGCTCCCCTTGCTATAAAGAGAGACCACTAATGTTTGTGGAACTGCTGAATCCTAAGAGAGGCAGAGTAATGGTAGCAGGCAATAATACTGGTTATTCTGGTTCCACCAGATGTATTTAGTACCAGCTGATTTTCTAACCTATGGCAGGATCCTCTGTCCCGCTTTGCTCCAGCAGCAACCTAAAGTCTGCTGGTAAACATCCTGTAGCTGAGAATCTACAGTGCTCAGCTATCCTGGTGCCACCTCTGACAGAGCAGGACCCTGGCCTGAAGTCCTTGCTCCTCTCTGGTCTTACTTTGAGAATTTTTAGCCTGTGTTCTGGAATGCTATCTTGTTGGTGAGTGGAACTATAAGGAGTTTTGATCATCTTAGCAAGGGCTATATGGGTGTCATTGGTTAAAGCTTTGAGTTTCTCCATTAAAAGAAAATGCAGAGTAACTTGATAAATAATTTCCTTTGAAGAGAGCAGCATTATACATTTGAAATAAATGAATCTTAAGAAACTAAAGATTTTGTGCATAGTGTGACTCTGTAAACTTAGCCACGTTTTTTAAGCCTAACTTCCCTCCTCTTTAACCATGAAAATATCTATAACCCTTTGGATTGTTTTATGGTTTAAATAATCTATTAGATATAAATTGTTTAGCATGGAATTTCTAACAAAATTGTAAGCAGTCAATCATTATTAACTATTGCATGTGAAGAGATAAACTACTACTACCAATCCTTTAATGTATAGACTTCAACAAAGAAACAGTGAATATATTGAGTAATAGTTAGTTGACTGATACTAGAAATGAAGTTGTATTCTTTTTGTGTTGCATTTCAGATGTTATGGTGATGAATACTTGACAACCCACGGGATCAATCTCTCACCTTGGGGCTTGTGGAAGAATTATGTGGCTTTGGCTTGTATGATAATTATCTTCCTCATAATTGCCTACCTAAAATTATTGTTTCTTAGGAAACATCCTTAAATTCCCCTTTAATTTACTACAAATTACCCCCACATAAAAAAGCAACTTGATTTATTTTAAATATCCAATGGTTTATCGTTGTTTTTGTTGCCTTATGTGTACTTTCTATTATACTGTGTTATGCAACTAGTCAGGCTTCTCTTTTCAAGCTGACTATTAGAAAGCTTAGGGCCAACTCAGCTGAAATTGTAGCCCAGTCTCTCTGTGTATATGTGTATTTATAGAATGCACTTTTTACCTTCATCATGATCTATTATTTTCACTTTAGTTTTGCATTACTCTTTACTTTGATTTTTTTACATTCACACTACTCTACCTATAATATATACAT